AAATATCTTGCTCTCCTCTCTGTCCCCCAACACCAGCAGACTGGCTAATCTTAGTATCACACAAGGCCTCATTTACACAGGCAGCAAAGGGGCAGAAAAAACAGCCAGCTGACTGTTTTCTGGACAATCAGATTTTTTTTGGCATTACATTACAGGCACGGTAATGTGACTTCCTGTTGTGGATCGACCCGAAATGAAGATTTGGACAGATCCAAAATCCGAATAATGAACGGAATCGTATTTCGGATCCAAAGTCCAAAAAAACAAACAAAATCCAATTCGATACGAAATTAAACACATTTTTTTCCGGGGTTACATGTCTACTGAGTATGTGTCATGCTGGTTCACCTGGGAGAGCATCATGATGATGATTACATTTCATAATCTATAAAACCATCTGATACATTAACTCTCTTTATTGGCCCTCATAACCAGACTTATCCTAACATATGTTTTTAACATGAACAACAGCTTCTCATTAGTTGACATGAGCATCACAATTCTGTTTTGAAAAAATCTTTTCACATGGGCACTCCGTCACATAACCTACCTCAGTCCATACAAAGTCTTGATGAAGGGAGACCCTTTGCACCCCAAAATGCATTTTTTATGATAAGAGTCTTCATTAAATCTGGACTATATATGTTCTGTCTCTGGCGCTCTCTCTTTGCATACCCAGTCCCTACTTTGGCTCACCTTTGGCCACCACTCCTCGGACAGTTGCCTAGGGAGAATCATTCTCTCTACACTGCTTAAGACCTGGCAGAGAACATCTACTAGGAGATCCATCACCTTGCACCATTCTTCTCAGTGCATACAATCACAGCCTTTATTTTAGGTAACTGACTATGTCACATGTCTTTCTATTCTATTTTTAACTGAAATGTAGAGTTTGCTATACTAAAGATAATCATCAAAGGAGACCTGCAGGCAAAACACAAACATTCAGTCATGAATAATCACAAAGTAAAAAGCTGTTTATTCTTCATACACTGTTCAGAAGAAAGGTAATACTCTATAGATCTTTGGATCAGGAGCAGAAAATTAAGCATGTCTCAGATCACATTTTGCTTTTGTAGGTTCTGAACAGCTAACTAGTCATTTTAGACATTACAATTTTATTTGACAGAACCTTCCAGATCAATAATTAAAGAATAACAAGGAGCTGATACGTAAAACAATTAAGTCTGAATAGGTACTACTGCGGCTTGCAGTCAGAAAAGAGAAGTGCAGTGCAACATTACTTAAAGGAGAACTATTAGGAGAGTAAAATGTTCTCTGCCCAATAGTTTGAGCTGGCATGGGACACTGCAGCTGTCACACGCTGACTTTTTAGCTTAAGAATTGAGTGATCACAAATCACTGACTGCACAGCTCACGGCTTCTTCCTGCTTAGAGTGGTGACTGTCAGTCAGTGCTCCCTACAGGGATTCCCCCCATCCAAGCATTAATTGGAGGGACAGACAGGGGAGGGGACGAGCACAGCTGGTTTTGGCTCTAGAGAGACAGAACCAGCTGTCAATCAGACAGCGGGTTGGATCCCAACAATATTGTCAGGACCTTTCCGGCTGCAGCATGGCTCTGTGCTATCAGTTCAGGATAGGCTTGGGTAGAGTAAATACTGTCACATTTGTATTAATGTCCATGACAACATTGGGTGAATTACACAAAAATTGAGGTGACCAGTTGTCATTGGGACAGAAAGACACATACATTAACAATAACCTGACAGATATTCCAACCCATCCTAATTTTAGCACACACAAAAAGCGTTTTTATGGTCTGTGTCCCGACTGGAAATATTTCTCATCACATTTTGTTCTGCAAAGAGGTGGCAAGAAATCTACCCAATAGGTCCACAGACCACAAAACAAAATGACATAGGTTCTATCTATTGCCCACTCTGATAGACCTGAAAAGTAGCACAACAGCACAAATCAGGCTGACATCCCTGCTGCAAATTGGTAGGCATTCGCTTAGCGTTGTTAGCCTGCAACAGGAAGTGCTCTTATTGGCAGGATCTCTAGATGAGAGCCTTTGCAACAGAGTAACCAAAAATGTTTTGCTTAAGATAAATGTATACAACAAGGCATGATTCCAAACACACTGAACATTTTGATTTAGGGTTTACAGACACTTTAACTTTGCCAGCCTTCAATTAATGCTGAACTTTAAGGATCAGCAAATATTGTCTAAATACAAGAGTCATGTGTATTCTTACTTGCATCTTGGTGTCCTTTCCTCCAGATCTGTGCAGTAATCCAGTGTGAAAGTTTGTCTCTCTGCAGGAGCTTCCTGTAATAAAGACCAATCACTGCTCTCTCTCCTTGTACAGGGTGACTGGTCTTGTCTCTGCCCTCTCCTGTAGTTTCCTGCAGCTCTGCTCTCTGCACAGGTTATGTACAGCACAGTCATGACATCACTGCTACTTGCTGCTTTGCAAAGCCATTTGGTGCACACAAAGTGGATTTATATTCTTTTTGTGGCTATTGAGAAATATATTTAAATAAAAGTTCTTATGCGCTAATGCTTATGCGCTCACACTAATACAATTGATTAGGGGTGACGTCTCAGACCACTTGTGGTAATTGGATCTGTACAACATTTGTTTGAACAAAGACCAATCACTGGTGCTTTCTCTTCTTGTTCTTGTTCTCTTCTTGTATCCGCCCCCTCCTGTAGTTTTCTGCCGGCAGCTTGTAGTGGGTGGAGCCTGCTGGGCTCCTCCCACAGCTCTGATCTCTGCACAGGTTATGTACAGCATAGTGATGATGCTCTCACTACTTTTACAAGTTAATAGTGTGGTATGCATAAGCATTTGATGCACACAAAGTGTATTTATATCCTTTTATAGTGTTTGAGCTTTAAAAGCAGTTGACATTAAGGTAGAACTGTGACTTGTCTAGGGACAGTTAACTATTTGCAAGTTGCTTAAAAGCAGTAACTAAAATGTAAGGAAAGTTCTTTGTGACCTCTGTACTCGCAGGCACTGTGGTGAAATTCATCCTCAAAATGTACAGCAGAAAGTACTTTCAGTTTCAACAGCTCAGCTTCCCTTACTTCCACTCCAAGCCTGCAAGTTTTCTCAACTCTGATGTAAACACAGAGCAGGTGCACACGAAGAGGGGAAGTGAAGAAATAATAATAATTATTATTATACAGGATTTATATAGCGCCAACAGTTTGCGCAGCACTTTACAATATAAGGAAGACATTACAATCACAATACAATTCAAGACAAGAGGGTAAGGAGGAACCTGCACGTGAGGGCTTACAATCTAAAAGGGATGAATTCACTATTTCACTTGTGA